AAATGCAAATTGAAGACTTGAGGTCTTAATTTTTTTGTACTATGTTGATAATGTAGTGATAACATGATTTAAATTATAAATTATCACTTAGTGGCCAAATAAATTGGTATTTAACTAACATTGACAGCAATTTCATGATGTGTGTCAAGTGCCATGAGTTCACATCTTTCTAAGAATTCCAGATTTGGAATTTATATAAGAAAAATGTCTGTCTTTAATCCTAAAGTGTATATCAGTAATTATTTAAATGAATGGTTATTATGGCCTTGTGGTATAAACATGGCACGATGTTAAACAGAAAGGCAAAACACAGGGGGCACCTGGGTGGCTCAGTTGGTTAAGTGCCTGCATTTGGCTGAGGTCATGATCCCAGGGTCCTGGGATGGAGCCCCACATCGGCTCCCTGCTCAGCGGGGAGCCTGCTTCCTCTGCCTGCCACTCCCCTTGCTTGTGCTCTCGCTGTCTCTCTCTGACAAATAAATAAAATCTTTATATAAAAAAAAGAACACAAACTACCATGATGCAAGTTCCTATGTATATGTACACATACACACACAGGCATATATACACATGCATGGCAGGGGAAAGAACATATACAGATAGACTTATCACTTTGTGACTGGTAAAATTAGACGTGATTTTTTCTATATTTTTCCACATTCCAAATTTTCTTAATGTGATGGTAACTTCTACACTAAAAGAAAATATTTAATGTAGCATGTAATACTGGTTTAACCAGGGGAAAAACAGTACAGTTGATCTAGAAGGGTTCTGGCAAGAAACATGACTCCTAAGAAAATGAAGCTGATGATTATTACAAGCAGGTTATTTTTTCCTGCTTCTTCAAGAGTTGCATGTGGTGTAAGGGTGGAGGATGAGACATGGAACTCAAGAGCACAGTGGTCTCAAGTCATGATTTTGCTGGTCTGGACCAGAGCTGTGGGGCATGAGTCCATGGGCCACCTGTGTCAGCCTGCGGTGCCCCCTTCCTGGAGACCGTGCTCTTGGGGACAGCATTCCTGTGGTTCCCCCTCAGATCATCATTTTGCTGCAAGTGAATGTTTAACTCAGCCAGAGCATTCAGCACTTACCCACATCACAGTGTTGTAGACTTAAACATTATCTTACTGGAATCAGCATCAGAAAAAAATGCACTGATGTCACAAAAAGGAGAATTTGCTTGTCTGCACAGCTCTCATTTATTTTCCAGCAAGTATTTACTGGATTCTTAACTATGTCCCAAGCATTGTTCTAGGCTTTGAGAATCCAACCATGAGCAAAGCACAGTAGGTCTTCCCATGTATCTTACATTCTAGGAGCAGAAGACGGACAGTGAACACTAGGTTATAAGGAAAAGAGTATTTTGGTGTGTTTTTTTAACATCTATGTGCTTATTTGCTGAATAGAGAGAACAGTGAACAAAATTTTTTCCTGGCACCCACAGCTTCTAGTCTAATGGGAAGGACTGTGTAGTAAGTGTTGTGGGGGGGGCGGGGCAGCACATGGAGAATTCTTTAACCCTAAAAAGGACAAAAAGTATATTCTTGAGCAAGTTAATTTCTCTGAGCCTCTGGTAAAATAAACATTATGATATTGTGAGGATTAAGTGTAAAAGTACCCAGCATTCTGTTGAGTGTATAGTAGCATTACATTGAGCTCATAGTGTTAAAAATTAAATAGCAGGGTGCCTGGGTGGCTCAGTCAGTTGAGTGTCGGACTCTCGATTTTGTCTCAGGTCGTGATCTCGGGGTCATGAGATGGGCTCTGCGAGGAGTCTGCTAAGGATTCTCTCTCCCTCTGCCCCTCCCCCGCGTGCTCTCTCTCTCA